GGACAGTGCCCGGTCCAATACTGAGAGAATATTGACGGCAATAGAGCAATTTTGATTGGTTGATTTTAGTTATTGGCCCTCTGACTGCCCGAGTCGTGTAATAAAATGAATTATCTCCTTCATTCAGTTCATACTTCTGTCACTTAATTGCAGTTTATAGATTGACCATGTCAAGTGATCTACCCATCAAACTCCTGTCACTCTTGCATACAGCTGGAATTGGGACATTACAGGACATTATCAACACTTCAAAATTAAATATTTACTGTTAAAAAATGTTGTGAAAAAAACACATTTCTTGCCTTTACAAGACCCTTAATTGTGATACATTTACCATGCTTGAATTGTTGTTTCAGGGCTGTGGTTTAGTGGCACCGGGTGGCCCCTTGCGCCTTACTCTTGCTCTTGGGGCGACTCAGGAATCTTAGTTTATTCATATATAGTCTGAATTTCTGCCGTCTCTTCCCTTTACCCCAAGTGGGGTGCAGGAGAGAGACTCTCCTGCGCCCCCCTTGGGGTAAAGGGAAAAGACGGCTGAAATTCAGACTAATTCATAAAAAACATATGCTGTGCACCCTGGATTTCACAGTTTCAGTGCACTAGGCTCCCTTCAATTTTTCTTAGAGCACAGCCTTGTGTTTACTAAAATTTATAACCAGAAAGTTTTGTAGCTTTGTGTTTTAAATTCCGGAAATTGTACAATTTCAAAACAAAATCTTCTATTGAACAACACTTTTGGAAAATATCAAAACTTCAAAATAAGATTCACCATTCCAAAGAAGAGTCCCTAACCTCACAAAGCCTCAGTTGAAGTTAAAAAGCTCAGTTTTGTTTCCATGCAGCCATAATTTGCATCACATTTGGGAATGAAGTACCGTTAACTCCAAAAGGTTTATCTTATAGTCAGGATAAAACTGAAATCAATGTTAAAGGTGTGAAACCTCATGGCTACACTTGAGGGAAACTTGCAGCTGAAGTGAAACTGTGCGGGAAACCTTGCCAATTTTTACTATAGTAGCTGTTCCTTAGGAAAGAATTACGGTCAAGTTGCCAATGGTTCAACCAGGGGTTTCAAAACAAGCTGGCGACTGCCGGCTACTTGATTGTGTGTCAACGGCTACTCTGGTCCAAACAGTCTGCTCGTGACAAACAATCTCGGTGTTATCAAAGCTGCCTACTTTTCCAGAGTTGGCCACCTACTTCAAAACAATTTGAAACACCAACGCCAACTCGCCAAGGTATAAAATTGAGTAGAGACATCGGCGAGTTGGTCTTAAACCCAGCTGTACAACTTAGAAGTCAAACATAAAGAAAAGTAAACAATCTTTAGTAAAAAAGCAATTTTTTTTTCTTTCAACAAGTTTAAGGATCTCATGGTGACTTGACTGCATGGAAACCTTTGGAAATAGGTAGGACTTGATGACAAAACATCCTCGTGTAGAAAATCAGCCCTTTTTTGAAAATAAGGAATTATGATGGAATTAGAGCCACAGATTTATAAAATGAAAATAATTCAAGACTTCTGCTTTTAAACCCTTAGGTTCCACTTGTATTCTTGTCCTCCAGTTTGAGCACAACAGTGGAAAACAAGTCAAACTGAATCATTCGTTACACAAAAGATAAACTTTCCAGATATTTATGAAAACCTCATGATTCATTTGGGAAACAGTCCAATTGTAAAAATCAAAAAATCATAATATTGACATAGTTAGAGATGGATTAAAAAGAACAGTCAAACAGGTCAAAAATAAATGTAAGTTGGATCAGAAGAGCAGTAATATTATTTTTTAACTTGACAGCTCTTCTGTTTTAGTAAATTGTACCAGGAATTGTTTGCTCAGTAATGTATATTTTGGCAGCTTTTGCTTTTGATTTCCTGTGGATAGGAACTAAGGGATATTCCTGATGGCTAGCCAATGCATAATACAATGAGTGATAATCTTTAAAAACCACAACATTTACATGTCTTGTACCCACAATTGAAGAAAATGAATAAGCTCCTTATCTTTTTTGATGTCTGCCAGTGGTTTATCTATTATCTATAATAGAAAATTTAACAAAAGGGCTTAGGTTTTTTTAATCGGTTTTGGCATAGGTTAATTATCGCACAGTGTTTGCCACAAAGTCTAAAGGGAGGATAAGGGAGATGGCAGTCCATCCTTGTGCAGATGGTCAAATTGAAAATTCACCTGGAAGGCACATTGGGAAGCAATTATTAATGCCCCTTGACAAGTATAGTTTGATGAGCTGTCAAACCATGTTCTAGATAAGGATTGTTCTAGCCATCTGTGGTTGTGACCAATAAAGGATCTATCAGCCTGAAAGCACCTTCCACATTAACTATATATTGATCATTATCTCCAGAGTAAGTAATCCTGATTGAAATGATAGTCTGCCTTAATATCAAAATTTACATAATCACATGTCTGCAAATTTGCCTGCTGTAAACAAAAAGAAAAACGTGATAAATGGAGTACATTGTTAAACATAACAGGAAAAGAAAACTTATCGAGATCCAGTATGTCAATCAAGAATTAGAAATTGGAAAAGCTGTCACAATAAGCTCATTCATTTGAATATATATGAACTGTTCTTATTTTGGTTATCATTACTGATAAACTACACTCGTGATTGAGGCCGACAGGAAGGGAAGGAAAAACAACTTGCTGCTGCATGACTGTTCATGAGTGATTTAAAGTCTGTGGGCAGCACAGTTGGGTGTCAATGCTTAAGGCTACAGCAAAAGGGATAAAATCAATCGGTTAAACCACAAACATCTCAACTATGTTGTGAATAACTTATTGTGTACGTTTGTGATCTTGGAGAACTAGCATCAAGATGTCAGGTATAAATCCACCCTATGATCATTCAAAATTAAATCTTGAACACCAGAAAATTTAAAATAATATATCCCACAGCTCATGTATAGCCAAATACAATTTGCACTTGAAGTTCACAAAAAAAAAGTCTCTCAACCAAACATTCACACCCTTTGAAAGAAAACGTTTTAGAATCTGACCATTATTTTGTACCTGTCCATGAGATTAAAATTCCCAGTTAGTTCACTTATATTAAGTCTTGTAAACATTCAAATCTCTCAGACTTTTGCTGTCCTGCTGCTTCAAAATTAGCAAGCTGAAGAATATTTTGGCACAATTTACTATTTATTCTTTACAAACCACCAAACAATTAACATATGTTATTGTGATGGCGAGGGAATTCTAGAATGTAATGAAAACGTAAAGTTATATGGTAATTATAACCAAGAAGAAAATCTTTTTTTCTCAAATGTTGACTCATCTTAGATACAAAAAGATTGCAGTATAGTTTGGACTGATTCTGCATAGCCTTGCTTGACCGGTTCATCCCATTACAATTAACTCATGGTTGGTTACAAAACTTTATGAAATAATTTTATGGATATCTCACAATTTCAAGAACCACTACAGTATTTTAGTATAATTTCGGAGCTGAGCAAAGAGTTTCCAGCAATCTGATTGGTTGAGTGGTTCCTTATATGACGCTATATAAACCGCTCCATGCAGTTTATATAAAATGTTAAACTAAAGTGTTAATAAATTTTACTAAAATGTTATGATTTTAGAAATTCCTCTGTTGTTCAGCTTTGAAATTATACTAAAACAATTATTCGCCTCAGGTTCGGTGAATATTGTGGAGTAATCCCCTCGACTTCGTCTCAGGGATTATTTGACGATATTCACCTCGCCTTCGGCGAATAATTGTTAAATATTTATGATGTGATAAATAAATCTGATTTTTCTCCTCAGTTAAGATTCTTCTTCTTCTGAAAAAAGTTTGTCCGTCAACAAAAAATAGTACACTGTAATAAAATATTAATTTTACAAGAAAATATAAATCAGTGCCATGCTTGTAACTGACATGCAAGCACATATTGAGATGTCACATTCATAACAGAAAAGAAATTGATACAAGTATGAATAAATGAGAAAATATATGAAAAAAATTAAGATTTAGGGGAGAGACGACCCCCATAGAACCAGCCTCCTTGACGATAGGCCCCAAATGGGGAGGTTCATTCATCCACTTGTGGAGTAAAAGGAAATTATTATTAACCTTATGAATGAACTGTACCCTACCTTCACTTCTGAAGCACCAGGTGAAGTTGTAGAGTCAAGGGGGCAAACATCCATACTTTCCTCCTTGCATGAGGTGCTCTGTGGTTCTTTCATGCAGGACACTTGTGATGACTCAGCACAACTCACACTCTCAGGCATTTCCTCCTTTGTTCCTTCAGCCCCTGTTGTTGAGCTAGGCAGTGTGTCTCGACTTGTGGAAGATGGTGTTGGTATTCGAGGAGTGGCGATAGGTGGAGGTGTAATGAACACAGTTCTAGCAACTGGATAACAACTGGCTTGGCGAGATCCAGGAGAGGTGCAAAAACCAATCGGACTCAAGTGACCAAAAGAACCTGCTGAAGACACCCTGGCTGGTCCAAGGTACCCTGATAAGGAATCTGGTGAACCTCGAATTAATGCATTCAAGTCAATAGATTCAACAGATGATGGGGTATTGGAGTGTGCCCGCTTCCGACTAAGTTTTGCTGATAGTCTTGGGCTTGGAAAGCTGGAAGATGGCAGGTCGATAACTGTGGACCGCAGAGATGTTGCAGTGGATGGTGGCCCTCCATACTCAGTAGCTGGATTTCTGTGCAGATTTGCCAAGTAGTCTGATGGTATCACAGGTTTTACAAAAGGCTGATAACCAGGGGGCCATTCAGGTTTGGGGCGTGCAATATCAGAGTCAGTATGTCTTCTCTCACGGGAACCACTCAATGAAGGTGCAACTCCATGCATCGGCGGGGGATTTGAATAAAATGCATCTGGGTGATGGTAATGATAAGGCCGATAAGGTGAATGGGGATGAGGAATGGGAGATAGATGTGGTGGTAGCACAGGACTTGGAGGATGACTGTGCCAGTGAGGGGCTCGTCCAGGGTAATAGTGGTTTGCATGAGGTGGGGCTGGCATAGATGGAGGTGGATGATGAGGGGGTGGGTAGTGCATATCATATGGGTAGTAATCAGGATATGGTGCTGCATGATATGGGTGGCTCCCACTCCATGACTGTGTGTGCCTGTGGTTGTATGGTGGATACCCATGTGGTCTTCTGCCCTCAATAGAGGAAGTCCTATTATCAGCTGGTTCCCTGCGGTTCACATCAAAAGTTGTTTGGGTTTCCTGATCATGAGCCCGATGAACGGAATTCATCTCTGGTTTGGACTCATCCATGATTTTTCAAATGCAGCCAAAACAGTCCTTCATAAATGGCATATGTTTTTGATAACAAACCTTTTTCTTTATCGGAAATATTTGTCAAGTTCAGTATCTGTTGAGGACACGACAGACGTTGCGTGGGTCTCGGATGAAATGTCCCGTTCTCGAATAACTCGCAACTTAGGAAGCGGCGCGCGGCAAAAACGAGTTAGCGCATCACACACGAAAGGTTCATGCTATCCACGATTCCTTGATATTCTGCGTGTAAGTGACTGCCGTTTCTATCGCGATTAAAACTCTGCTCTTTTCAGCCTTGCGAATCCACTGCCCTTAAGTCATAGTAACTGCTGACGCCAGAACAGTTCAAGCACCCCTAAGAAAATACAGAGAAACTTTACAGGAAATTTTACTTACATGTTCAGCAAGAGTGGGAATGATCGAACCATAACCACAATCGAAACACACTCAGGGCGATCAAGAACAAAACAATGGCAATGCTCACCTTGAAAAACGCAGACAGTTTCTAGGAAGACCTGGCGGGCAAATCAATCAAATTGTCCCAAATTTGGGATATCGTAGGACGAATGCGCTCTTGCGAACCGGGTAAAACCAATCGAGCGAAGGGAAAGACGTCAGAAAAAGCCGCTGTTAGGACACGCGGCAATTTTCTCACTATCACGAAAATTCACCACACAAAGTAAATTCTCCGAATGCATTCCCTATGATTTAGAAACGCGAGTATCAGTTTTCTCAACCGCAGGAGAGCGTATAGGTCAGTCAAAGGAAATCGGGTTTTCTTCCCAAGTGCGACAGCTCTGACAGGTTTCCGCACAACTTTATTGGTTTAACTAATACAAAGGGCATTCAAACAGACTCAAACCAATCACATCGGCGGATTTCCGCGACACAAAACCCTTGGGGTCAGCACAGATGTCGGTTCAACGTTTGATCAGAGGCAATCTACGCCCTCGAGTTTGCTGATGATAAAAAAATCAACAAGATGTTTATTACTGTAAACACCGATGCGGAAAGGAATGGGCATGTCGTTTATGCTCGGAAGGAGAGGAATTTTATGTTTTAAAAGTATTTTCGTGCGACTAGCACTGGGAAGTAATTTTTAACGAGTACTGCTCGAAGATTCTGCTACCCCTCGCTCAAGGTCAAAATGGGATGATCTGAAATTTGCGCTATTAAGTGTCGGAACATCCCAGCTGTTGAATTGACGAATGAACGATGCGTCTTGTCATTAAAAATAGCACACAAAGCTTTCTGATGCGACCTTAGAGTCAAACCCAAACACTCTCAAGATTAGAGATTGTTGATTTTTGAAGATATGAAAACAACCTCATCTTTTATTTCCCATCCGTGTACCTGCGGTGCAGGCTTCTTCAAAAATTCCTGTGGAAGGAAGTCTTTAATACACACTTGTTCACCTAAAGTTTTCTCAGAACATGCTCGCCAGGCTCACTGGAAGGACGAGTCGAATGTCAACATGACGATACATAGCAGACCACTTCAACAAAACAATTTGCGTTTAGTTTGGGTTCTTTTGCGTCAGATCAAATATCAAATATTTATCTCGCCACGATACTTGAAAACTATAACACAGAGGAAATGAATACGTGCTCTGCAGCCCGTTGAAGGAGGATTAAATTTGAAGTTGTTGTACTTATTTCTGATGTTCGCCAGAGATAAAGCCACAAGGTCTGCTGTAGTGGGTTAGTGAACTCGAGAAACGGAAATCGCAGCAGTGCTTCAAGCCCCATGTTAAAATAGGACTTTGCAAAGTCACGAAAACTGAGCTTCCTGTCGGCAATACGGATGTCAATTGAAACGATCAAGCATATAAATGTACCTATAAACAGGCAGTAAGAAGATAAATAGGGGCTAATTCGGGAAATAATAGCGAATTTTTCAATGTATTTGTTTACTTTGCCGATAGCGCGGCTTGATATGACTGGGAGGGAAGTAAGGGATTCACACGCTTCGTGTCTAAGAATACGGGGATCCGAACTTTAGGGCAGTTATTTCGAGGCTTGGAAAATAAGAAAAGCGTTTTAAAAAATTTGCACGTGAAGATCAGTTATATCGTTTGTTTTTTTTCTTATTGCTTGCCGTAGACAATCAATTGGGGCTAAGAGTTGGGTGAGATAAATTTTGCACGAAACTTTGAGTATCATACTTTTGAGCGTCACCCCTGAAAACATGGCATTGTGTGGAAAATGATGCTCAACGTTATCCATTGCGTTCAACTTGATAATTCAAAATAATAACCAGTAAGTGCCTTTCCCTTCCCCTTTTACATTCCTACCATCAAAAGGTAAAACTTGCCAAGATCGAGAATTAAAAGTTACTGAAGTTCAGAACCACAACATTTTACTGGATCAGCCTTAAGTGCTAACAATTAAGTAAAGCAGGCTTACTGTTGACATAACTCAGGCCACAAAACTAATCATTTGATGAAGTACATGAAGGAAATTTTTAGTAGTCATTACGCTGGCATTATGTTCGAGGCTATATGCTTTGACTGTAAGGTAAAGGTAAAGTGTGTTTACGAGCCTAGTGGCCCATTGAGCCGGTGCTTAACTCCGGTTTCTGTAGCATGAAGCGACTAGGAGTATTTCTACTCCCCCCTGGATGGGATGCCAGTCCATCGCAGGGTTACCCCCCTAGCATTAAATTGCCGGTACCCATTTAAACACCTGGGTGAAGAGAGGCACTGTGAGAGTAAAGTGTCTTGCCTAAGAACACAACACAATGTCCCGGCCGGGGATCGAACCCAGACCATTCGATCCGCAGTCGAGCGCACCAACAATGAGGCCACTGCGCCTCCACGATGCTTTGACTGTAAGAGGAACTTAATAGGGTTAATCGTTATCCGTAAAACAGCCAAAAAAACTTAGCAGTCAGGCGTAAAAATTAACATGTTTCAACTAGAAGTCGTTAAAAAAAATTTACCTATCGTCAGTGCCATTTTGGAGAGTCCCAATGGCCAATGGGGCGTTGGCTTTTACGGCTAACGATGAAATTTGTAGCCATTTTACAGCTAATGCATAATGTAATTCCATCTCATTGCTGTCATCAGCAATTTCTTTTACGATTAGCTTTTTTTTGCGATTTACGGTTAAGATTTATTTTGGCCGATAGCTATCGTTTAACCCCGGCTATTGAGACTCGCATTTTGGGTTAACTATTAGCCGTAAAATGGCCAAATTTAACCCATTGAAAGCAAAATCTTGTTGTTTTTAAAGTAGTTTCCGGAGCAGCATTTGAGATCAGCTTTTTAATGTCACCACCACTGGAGCCTTTCAAAACGATTGTGTTTTTCTTCCATGCAAAAAAAATAAAGATGAAAAAGTGAAAGCGTGTAGCTGATGTTTTTTCCGCTGGCCTTGTTTATTTTCGACGGAAATGATCGAAGGACAAACATCGACCTAATCGGGGGTTATCGCTTAATAACTGCCCGGTGATATTGTACCACGTGACTTAAAATAGTTATTAGAGTCGCGAGAAAATTAATGGATGGGCTCGTAGCACGAATATTAATATTGTCCGTGGATATTATCAGTTCCAAGTTGCGAATAGCTTTTCGAGAACGAAGCTCAGGGAAAACTGTGAGCTATGAGGAACAGCAAATGTTCAAGGACAAATATACGAGCATGTTTCCGGGCCACATGGAGGCTATTGTCCTCATTATCCTTTAAGTATTTTTGCGACGCGCGGGAAAAAAAATTTACCATTTGCTGCGTGGAAAGTTCCCTTTTCAGTATTTTCTGGTACGACTTAATGGGCAAGGAACACGTCTCTTATACTGTAACAACAACTAAACTCTCACTCGTCTTGAAAGAAAAAATTTTAAACGAACGCTTTCATTAGAAGTAGAAGTAGAAGTAAGGTGTAGAATTGGGAATTTATCACTTGTGGCATATCCTCCGCGGATATTTCCCAGTTTTAGCTGAGACATTCCAGCGAGTGATGTGTAGGACCAATCGCGCGCGAGCAAAAATAAATGATGAATTACAAGATTGTTTATTATCAAAGCTGGTTGAAGATCCTCGATATTTTTACAAACCCAAAACAGTCACCCATAAATCAATCCGTTGGTTTTCTCTCAGTTACTGAAGTGGGACTAATTTTAGCTTGCATTTTTCAGGTTTCTCGTACTCAGATCCTACCGCGTAATTGTGTTTGGCTGTGAAACGGTCTGGGCACGGGACGAAGTTTTCCACTTGATAGGGAGTGAGCGAGCTCTCATTAACACGGCTGCCACACGATCGTTTCTTGGTCCAAGAAAAAAAAAGCCTGCGTGCTTGACAAAAGTTTGGCCATTTAACTGCTAAAGGTTAATTGTATTTTCGTTACGGTTCCCAATGTGACTGAAATGATGTTTACGATTAACCAATCCAGCGCGACTAATGGTTGAAATTTGTCAAGTTTTGCGCCAAACGGCTAATTTTTTTTTTTTTTTTTTTTTGACGTTGGGACCCCCATATCTGGTTTTCTTTCAACTTTCCCTTATCAGCTACCGGTGTTTTTGTTAAATAGTCGATTACAGATAAAAAAAAAAACAAAACAAAAAAACGATAGTAATCGCGTGAAGTTCAATCTCATACACTTTGTAGTTCTAGAAGGCAGTCTTGAAGTTAAGCCGGCTGGGATTTAATTTTTGCAAGTTTTTTTTTTTCAGGCAGTAGAACATCAGCAAGGAAAGCAACGGAAGGTTTCAAACTTTTTCTGTTATTTCAATTACAGCACTCTCTATACATCTTAATGAATCCTTCTGCTCAAACGGACTAACCCGCCGTTCCTTTATCTATTTTCCAAAAGCAATTTTCTTTTGCTTTTCTTTTTTTATTAGAACAGATGATAGTTGATTTTGGCAGAGCTTCATATTTTGCTATCACTTTCCTTTGCGGATTAAAAACAACTCGCAAAAGTTGTAACGCGCAAAATTTTCATGGTATCCGTGGTAATTAAAGTATCCATTTTCACAACAGTATAGTTTTCATATCAAGTTACCAAAGCAGTTTGAAATGAACCAAAAAGATTATCCCTTGTAAAATTTCTATCCTAAAAAGTATCCTACAAAGTTTCTGAACGAAAATCTTAGCTGACTATTAGAAACTTAACCTAACAATATGAACCGGAACCAAAACTGTTATATTAAATCCACTGAAATACGATCGATTCTATCGCGGTACCAGTAATTTCCGTGAGCAAATAAAGGAATTGCAGGATGTATTAACTTTCCATTCAATTATTAATTTTCATTATACTGCCAAGTTTCTTCTTTACAAGTTTCTAAACAAACAAACAAGACTGTTTAACGTTACCTCTGCTATTACGTGCGTCCCCATAACTGACCAATAAGGGAACTGCTTCTCCTTGAAATTAAACACCATGATTGTGCAACATGCATGAGACTAGAAACGGGCTACTTATACTTATAACTAGCGCGGACGACACAACCATCTCGACCTCATTTCCTGACGAGGACTGGCAGCAGAGCAATGAAAACGTCGGGATCTTTCTTAAATTGTGAGAGATACAAATCAGTGTAAACATTCATTTACTTTTGTAACCATCGTGAAAGTCACTTATGGCTTCTTCTTCTTTTTTTTTTTTTTCATTTATCGTAGATGATATAATGTCTCTTCTACCATTTACAGCCCTCCTGAAGGAAGCCTCTCCGCCTCCAAAATGTCAAAGGGGGGGCAATGAAGGATTTTGGATACTTTTGGTCGTGTTTGTGCTTACGTCGATTTGCAGCAATATCGTATTGGCTCAACAGTGTGGAATCGAAAAAGGATCTTATTCTATCTATCAGAAGATGCTAAAGGGACACACCTATAAGACATTCAAGACGTGGCCCAAGTCACTGGATTGTAGAGACGCGTGCCTATCTGACGTTAGATGCCAGAGCTATAATTTCATGTTCCTGAAAGACATCTGTGAACTAAACAACAGAACCAAGCAGGCAAGACCGAAGGACTTTGTAAAAGATGTTGAAAGATATTACATGGAGAGGATACCGAGAGGTAAGGAAATAATCTGGTAAAATACACTCACTCACCGAGCAGGCCACGCGGTGCAAAGCCCACAAAAAAATTGAGTGTCGTGAGGTCAGATAAACACGAAAAGGAAATGCAATTCACAGGCTTTAAACCTTTTAAACCCAGTTTACAATACACAATCACCACGCCGAACTAGTGGCGGCAACTCATGAAGTACTAAGTAGCCTGCCGGAGAGGCGTTTCATTAGGACGAGTCAACGTCAAAAAGCGCGCATTCGTTTATTTAACTGGTCATGTTTAATTTAGAGTTACAGTCAACGGTAAAGGGAAGTAGAGGGAAGAGCTAGGCGAAAAGACACTGTTTGAGAGCTTATATACAGAACTATGCGCAAGATATCCCTGCACTTAAAGGGTTCATTGGTAGTGAAAGTAGCACGAACCATTGAAAGCAGGATTTTACATCATCATAGGCGAGTGAACAATAAAAAGGTTAAACTTTGCCGATACAAATAAATTTGTGTTCCTCCCAACTCAACTATGTGTTCCTGTGGAGGAGTATGTGTCAAGTTTCATGGACCAAAACCAAGAGAAAATAATAGGTCCCATTATTTTCTTGTGACGTCAGAACTCACTAACTGTCGACTCTCGAAGGTGAACAAAACCAACCAACTCCCGAGGGAAACAACAAATTGAACTTTCGGGTCTCGTGTAACCAGGTCGTGCACCTTAAAGCTGCAACTAAATTACGAAGCAGCCCACTTAGAGAAAATATCTTTTCGCGGTCGAATTTTGATGTATAACAGAACACTGAATAACTTACCGACACTCTGGATATACTGAGTTTTCTTTCTTCGGACCCTCAATACAGGGCCGAGATTCTTGTCTTGTGATGAATCATCATACATTCGGCAGTAGGGGCAAAACATATGCGGATGATGCGTAGGTCATCAATGTAATTTCCTAAGTTATCGTCAAAACGACACGAAAAAATGTTCCTAACCTCACAAATCAATATTTCCTCTTTTCAGTTTCCCTCGGCTCTATTCCTGAGCTGCCTGCTGATTCGTGTTCAGAGATCAAGGCGAGCGAAGGAGGACAAGCGGTCAGCAGTAGTTATTGGTTGGATGCAACCAGATCTGGGAACTCCATTCTTGCTCGCTGTGACATGAAAACGGAGGGTAAGTCTGGCTTTTTCGTTCAATTATGGCGGAATGGGGTATCTTTAAAGTGAATTGGTTAGGGGGGGGGGAAGGGGGGCTACTTCTTTATCAAAGGAGTTTAGATAGACGGAACTGACGAAACTGTGCCAACTCAAGGAACTGTGATGCAAATTTTGTTTTGGGGTCTCAAATAGTTTCTTCCAGGCCTCAGCATTATGAAGGATATTTTTCACGCATAATCTTAGTCTAAGAAGAGGTGTTCAAGGGGTAAAATAGGGGTAAAGTAGCATATTAAGTGAGTGGGTTTCCACGTTATTTTCTTTCGGGGCTTACCAACCCTATGCTTGTCCCTAATTAGTAGGTTTTCAGGCAATATAAAGAAAGATAAGACGATCAGCTATGATTTTACTGTTGCATAGTTGCTGACTACTGCATCAAGCATCTGTGGGTGAACAATGCGAGCTGTGTAAATCATCCAGTGAATTACTTGTGCTGGTGCAAAACTGGATGGACTGGAAACTATTGCGGAAAAGGTAAATTCACGTTTGGAGACGTTTACATTGTGCAATGGTTCTAAACCCAAAATTTTTCCATGCTATAGGAATTCACTGGTTTTTTCCGGATCTAAACGTAAAATTACGCTCAGCGAGATTACAAACAGGGCGAACCAAACATTCTGTCCATTAAGTTCTCAAGTTACACTATGGGAACTCAAAATATATCAGTCGCTCTTACCGCCTGATGAAGACTAGCAGTATGCAGTCGAAACGTCGCGATTCACATCATAATTGACTATATCGTGAGAAACGAGTGAGTGAGAATAACAATCTTACACAGACTATAGCATCAGCGGATTATTGTACATAAAAAGCATGAATTTAGTAGTTACTGTGCAGTTGTTCATCTCAAGTGCTGATTACCATTTCATACCAAAAAAGTAGACAAGACTGATTTCCTCTGGTTTCATTAATTTTAGATATTGACGAGTGCAGCAACGGTGACCATGGTTGCCATGGCAAAGCGTATTGTACCAATACTAAGGGAGCATTCATTTGTACGTGCAAACTTGGTTACCATGGGGACGGAAAAGTCAGCTGCAAAGGTTTTTAAACGTTTTTATTCAGTAGGCCAGAAGAAATCAACGAGGAAGAGCTCTTTACTTAAAGGAGGCAAAAACATTTCTCCATTTAGCCGAAATCAGACTGTTTAGAACTTGTAGTTGAAATCATAGGTTTTAAATGGTTTTGTGCATTTCATTTCTAAGCGAGGATGTATTTTTGCCTGCAGATGTAAACGAATGCAAAAAGAATGCTAGTGCTTGCCCAGCTCAGGCGTCATGTGTCAATTCTATTGGTTCATACCGCTGCAATTGTCTGTCTGGTTGGAGAAATCGAGGTGCACATACCTGCATCGATGTTGACGAGTGTCTTGTGGGATCTCACAGTTGTCCATCAAATTCCCGGTGTTCTAATACTCCAGGCTCCTACCGCTGTATCTGTTTGGCAGGTTGGAGAAACCAGGGTCCCAGCACTTGTGTTGACATTGACGAGTGCTCTGAGGGATCTTACAGCTGCCAATCAAATTCACAGTGTTCGAATACTCCAGGCTCTTACCGCTGTATCTGTTTGATAGGTTGGAGAAATCAGGGACCCAGCACTTGTGTTGACATCGACGAATGTTCTAAAGGATCTTACAGTTGCCAATTAAACTCACAGTGTGCGAATACTCCAGGCTCCTACCGTTGTGTCTGCTTGTCTGGCTGGAAAAACCAGGGTCCTAGCACTTGTGTCGACATTGACGAGTGTTCTGAGGGATCTTACAGCTGCCAATCAAACTCACGGTGTTTGAATACTCCAGGCTCCTACCGCTGTGTCTGCGTGTCGGGTTGGAAAAACCAGGGATCCAGTACTTGTGTTGATATTAATGAATGTTCTAAGGGTTCTTATAGATGTCAATCGCACTCCCGGTGTTCGAATACTCCCGGCTCCTACCGCTGTGTCTGCGTTTTAGGTTGGAGAAACCAAGGATCCAGCACTTGTGTTGATATTGACGAGTGTTCTGAAGGATCTTACAGCTGCCAGTCAAACTCCCGGTGTTCTAATACTCCAGGCTCCTACCGCTGTTTCTGTGTGTCGGGTTGGAGAAACCAGGGATCCAGCACATGTGTTGATATCGATGAGTGTTCTGTAGGATCACACAGCTGTCCATCAAACTCAAGATGTGTCAACACTGTAGGCTCATAGCAATGTCGTTGCAACTCTGGTTTCACTCCTCGTTACACGATTTCGCGTTGTCAAGATACTGACGAATGTATAACAGGAAGCCATTCGTGCTCCTCGTACGGCAACGCCTATTGTGTGAAGACCATTGGCTCCTACAATTGTCGCTGTAACCGCTGTTACTACATGTCTGGAAGTAGCTGTAAACGTAAGTAGTTTATTACATGAAGTATTCCTGCTTTTTTATCCTACATGATTTCGCTGCGGATGGTGGATATTTAGCGTATTGAAGAGCCCTGGTATCAGAAGTGATGCAAAAGTTAAAAAAGTTGGTTACGTCTATCAGCTGTCACTAACTGATTTTGTTTTTTCATCAATTTTCTTTCAACAGCTGATTGCAGCCTTAAAACTCAGTACTATTACGTAAGGAGCTACACCTCTTATAAATCTTATTATACCACAAGTTGTGGGTTTTTTGGGGCGAAAAGGTGCCGAAAGTCCAGGTAGGTAAATTCAAACCAGTTCCATTTCTGAACGAACGTGATTAATTTTTAAGGACCAAGCATGCTTTCTTGTCTAGGCCCAGCACAGTGCATGATCAAAGCAAAGATATTTGAAGTATAAGTGAACCACTCGAAATGCATGAACCACCGTAACTTTCGCTGGATTGAATAATAATTATTGGAAGAGAGGGTGAGAATGGTGTCTTGATATAGAGAAGCAGCTCAAGATGGGTACGTTAAACTATTTCTGACCTGTAAGAGCCCTTTTAAAAATATGTTTTATTCTGTGGCCAACTACAGACATTTTCCTAGCTACTTCATTTACTCCTTGATTATAACTGCATGCGATATCAAATTTTGAAAGCAATCTCAAATTACCAGCGGCAACTCACGTCAAATAATTCCCCTGTATCCCTAATATAAGAGGACGTCATATATATACAAAAATTTTTCTGCGGGAGCTAGAACTGAAATGAAAAAGGAGGCAAACGCCCAACGCGTCTAAAAAGTAATTCCAGGAAATGAAGAAATTACAAGTTTCAGTCAAAAATACTATCACTGCGATTTTAAGAAATACCATTGACTTCTTGTCAGGTTAAAGTCAATAGAGAGATTTTGCATCGCGTTTGCAAATGTCAGCTTGCCTTTCACGTTTCATATTAAATAGCGTGAACATTTCAGCGCACATAACTTCGGCATTTGAAGGAGTTTGGACATGAAACTTCATCTACCCTTGTACGACTTACAGGAAATGGTTTTAGTATATTTTTTCCCGGCAATAAACTTCTACTCTATGAGGGGAAAGGGGAAGAAAATGATACGCATACGGCAAACGCGAAGTAGCTAGCTTACTCTTACGTGGAAACGGCAAAGTGCAACCGGAAAAAGTGAAAAACGGCGTTCACATTTCATGTAAACGCGGTGTTAAATCTCTCTATTGATGGCGCTGCCGAAACGTTTATCGTTGTTGTGTTGATAGTCGTTGCTTTTATTTTTCCCAGGACAAAAAGAAAAGCAAAAGCAGTTCGGAAAAGCCGTCAGGTGTGGGTGGGGAACCACGCGGGAGCAAGCTGCCCCTGTTGAACCATTTTTTAGGTTACTATTGGTCCTCGAGCATTTCATAGTCTTCTGAGACCAACGTTAAAACGATTACTTACCTGTATACATCTCGAGAACTTATCTATTGAGTGTTGATTAGGATCCACTTATAGTTCACCACTAAATTTTCTCCGGTTCTTATTGGTTTAAATCGATCGCGTGACGCGATAGTGTTCATCCGTGGAGAGACACTATCAGCCCATAGTGCCCGCCCGCGGAAAATACCCGGATGGATAGTGCCCGTCCGCGGAAAATACCTGGATTGATAGTACTCATCCGTGAAAAGTTTTGAATAGTTTGACGGCCGCGAAGTTAGGCAGATCGGAAAAACAGTGACTTTTCAATTCTGACAGGTATAACGTATTATTTAGCCAATGTACGGTTGCGAATTATTGACATTTGTGACAAGCTGTAGGCGCGGAAGAAAATTTAGTGGTGAACAATAAAAACAATAGAGTGTTTATGTCTCGGAACTATCGGTCTGATAGTTGCCCCTTGGAAATTTGATGTTCTTAAAACTAGCATATTTG